TAATAATTGCATGTCAACTATTATAAATTGTATTCAAATTCTTCCCAGGTGAATTTATGACAATTTCACTTGCACGTTTGGGTTTTGTTGATTTTTTTTCTGTCATAAAGTTGAGACCCAGAGCAGAGCAACAAATATTACATGTACTCTGTGTTTTACAGTTTCATTTATATAAAGATAATTTCAACAGTGTCTCAGTGTTGGAAACAGATGGAATGAGCAATGCATCCAGTCAGTATTCACTGATCAAAGCTTCACCTCATCAAGACAAGCCACATCCACATGAAAAATGACCGAACAAACCAGAAACTGTTTTATTTAAAAGCCAAATCATTCACTTTATTTTAGCTACTACACTGAAACTGTAAATATAAAAAATCTTTTGACTGTCCATTGCTTTGAGCACAGCAGTCTCTTTATGTTAGCGGTAGGCTGCCCTCTGCTGGCTGTTACTAAAAGCTATGCAAGTGTTTTGTTCTGTATGCATGCTTAACAAGCATCTTGCATATATTTTTTCTTAAAACCTCATCCACTTTTACATATATTGGTGATGCTCATATAAACACAGGCTTGCATAATATATAACTTTTCATTGATCGTCTTTATACCACATCTAAAAATCATTGAATAATTAATTAAATTTGATATAAAATGGTAATACAAAGTTTTAAGCAAAATAACCAAAAACAAATGCTGGTCAGTCAGAGGGCATCGCTACAACACAGAACACAAACATAAAACATTGTTGTTTATACATTTGATGTGCACAAAATCAACAATCGCCCCTAAAATTGTTAAAACATAAATACAAATTATTTATGTGCAAATTATTTATTAATTTGCAGGCCATTAACAAATGGCCTGCAAAAGTAATAAATGATATCTATCTTCTTTTAATAAATTCTGACACATTTAAGTGATTCTTTTTTTAATTGCTAAATTATGTATAAATTGCTTTTATAAAAATAATGCCTTTTTACATCCCTTTAATAAATACAATTTAATTTCCTTTAACTTGCCACAAAGTCCTTTTATAGTATAAATAGACAGCACAATTAATGGAAATTAGGATTCCGATCAAAATATGGCATTTTTTCACTTCTTTATGTCATAGACTACATACCAAATAGGGTTAATAAAAAATCTTTGACTCCAAGCACAGCCTCCTGTGCCTCCAAGCACAGGAGGCACAGGACAACAACAAACAATGTTGTCGTTATCAACAAGACATTGTTGATAACGACAACAATGTCTTGTTGTCGTTATCCTCCTCATTCTTCTTGTCCTCAGCCTCATTTTTTTTGTTTCTGAATTTCTGCATACTCCGTCTCATTCTCCATTCGGTTGTCTTCCTTTTCGAGATGCCTGTTCAACTTGGAGTGATCAATGGTGGCATACGTCAGGTTGTTCGATACACTGTTGAGTTCAGGGGCCAAGGCTCCATTCACTGCTCCTTCTTGGACTTCACCCTGAGCCTTGTTCACTGATTGACCACTACAACTCTGAAAGATACAAAAAAGAATGGCATTACATAATTGCTGAAACAATAAACATTTTCTCTAGTAATTTGTGAATTTTCAGTCTCTGCCAGCTATTCTGTCATATATCATTTGTCAAGGATCGAGCTGAAGTCACGGCCTGCCAAGAACAGAAGAAAAAAGGAGAAAATATAGCGTATTTTTATTCTACTCTTTTATGTATTATATATGTAAGGTTTTGAAGGGTGTTGCTCAAAATTTTCATCTTTGTTTAATAACTAATGACATGGAGGAATTTTCATTCAAAGTAAGATTTGAGTGTCTGTTTGAAATGCAACTGTGCTGCCTTTGAAATGAAATGATTACACCTGCTGCAGCTTTTGTAATTTTTCTTCCCTATATACCTCAGTCTACTTCTATATACATATTCTAATTAAGCCTTTTTAACCTGCGCTTTGAGAACCAGAACTATGAAAATGCACAATGCTCCTTAAATGATATCAAAGGCCTTTAAATGGACATATGATTTTTGTAAACTTAACATGTGTTATGATTTACTGCTGGAGATTCCTAGTTTTAACCCAGACAAATCCATGAAAATCTATTAAAAATATTTATTTATCATTAGGCCTCGCTCAAATTTCCTTTGGCAAAAACCCCCAACAACATTTCACACTTTAAAAGCAGCTTACCTGTGGATCATCTGGAGCGATCGCTTCAAGAGTTTCAACCGAATTTCCAGACTTCTTCAGTTTTTTTCTGTGAAAAAATATATTCACTCAGCAAAAGCTTAATACGTTTATGCTGGCTTTGCATGCTAACAAGATCAATGAACAGAGCTAATATACCTGTAATATTTCATGGCAATAACAGAGAGAAGGATAAAAATAAATCCCCCGATAAAAACGGCAATGAGGATTTCCATCCAGGGAACTGTTGAAGACTCATCTGACAAAAAGACAAAACAAAATTAAGATACATTGTAACTATCAGATTTGCAAAGGTTTTCAGGCAAAGTAATTCCTTTTTTTAATAAAATGTAAAAAATATACATGCTTCTCACAAACCCTGCATTTATATGTCATAACTCCTTGAAATACCTGTTTTCAATCATCTTATGGCAAACTACATTTTTAATGTATTTTTCACCTTTCCACACAGGGGGACAACATGCTATTGGATTTAAAATAGCACGTTGCACATTAATAATGTAACTTTGAGGGAAAACTATAAAATTTTATTTGGTGACCATAAATTTGAGCATTTTCTAACAGAATTTTGCTTGACTGATTAACTTGTTTCTGACTTTTTATCTTGTTCTCTATATGATGCTGTCATATCTATTCCCCTATTAAGCTCTTTGCATTCTCATCTTAGTTCTGATGGATAATCTTTGGTCCTGTAACTTTGCACCATCCTCATTTGACTCAGATGTTGGCTCCACCTGCCTTTCTGTTGATGTTTATGTCTTGTGTAGAGCTTTAAGTAAAATAAAATAAAAATATTAATACTCACATACTTGAAATAATGTGAAAACATATTACAATATTAATATAGTATTTTAGTTAGAAAACATTTTTTTAGTTATAGTCTAATACCACAACGGTCATGAATAGACCAGCAAGGCAGTCTCTTCTCTGACTGCACAATCTGATGGGCTGGGAAAAAGCACAGCTGTCTGGAATCCATCCTTACATATAAGCATAGGTTCAACATATAGTCGTTTCCACTTGTTTCCCAAATAAAAAAATAAGAAAATCTTGAAAGATTACTTGAGGTATTACAGTTTTCTCTGACTTAAGTTTCTGCTCAGGCGTCTCTCCAAAGACCACATCTGCTGCAATCATTTATTGAGTCCCATCAAGTTCCACTTCCTACATTCTTGGCATCCAAACATTGACAAAAATAATCAGATAGATTGATTTATATTTGGATTATATGCTAACAACTTTTTTGTTAACTGTAGGAGTTTCTAAATAAAAACTGTACAGGCAAGATTTTCCTGAGGAATTTTGCTTTTCTGCTCACGTAGAAGCAGATATTTGTGAACTTTCACAAGCTGCCCAGTGGGTGGCAGTAACAGGAATGGCATACTAGAGAACAAAAAGCGGCTAACATCAGAACTCATGTAATCTACCCTCTCATGCATATAAATGATTAAAAGTTGCACAAACGTGTCACCTGTAAAGACGTGGCTTCATTTACCTGGTAGGTTTTGAATTGTGAGTTTTTTCTCTGTTTCTCCATTTTCATGGCTGCTGAAACATTTAACGCTGATGTTTTCATGGCTTTTGATGGTTTGTGTAACAGTGCTGCGGACAGCTTGACCTGACACTGTGACAGAGTCCTCAGTGTGGTCCAAAGGCAGTGACCAATTTATGGTGGGTAGAGGGAACCCCTCACTGATACACACACAGGTCAGCAGCTCCGACTTGAGCACACATCCAGACGTGTTTAGGATCCCTGAAAACCCTGTAAACACAAAAAATGTGCATTCTCACTAATACAGGTGAAGTTCAAAACATCACCTGCTGTTAGCAGTGAATCCTTTGATGGCAAAAATGTGGAAAAAAAGGAGAAAAAGAAAAGAGTTCTTTTGTCAGTATTGAAACAAACTACCACTATAAAGGATGACTAACGGATTATACTTACAAGTTTCTGTGACATTAATTTCTTCTGTCAGAGTGCTATTCAGGTGTTTTGCTGTACAAATGTAAAGCCCTGCATCTCCTCTGGTTGCATTGGTGATATAATAAGAGGCATTTACTTCCTGCAGGACATTTCCGATTAATTTTCTTGAAAACTTGATTTCTGAAGGAGGGAAGCTGTCGACACTGCAGGTCAGATTAAGATAATGTCCCTCCTTGACGCTTGCTCTGCCTGAAATCTGAGGTTTTCTTGCATCTGTGGAGCACAGTTTAAGAGAAATTGTGATACTTAAAAAGCACAAAGCAGGACACATTTTAAACACAATTTCTGCTTTTAAGTGCAGAGCAGGTGACTTTGTTGCTTTATTAAAATATCTGAATTGCAACTATATTCAGCACAATGCCATGCTCTTTATATTTAACTACTCACAGGTCACTTTCAGAGTTTCCTCCTGCACAGTTGGGCCAGCAGTGAAGCTGACCGTGCAGCTGAGTTTGGTGTTGTGGTGTTCAGCTGTAGGGTTAAAGGTCAGCGTTGAACTGTGTCTCTGTGTGAAAGCAGTCAGATTCTCAGTTTTTAAGGCAGTTGTGTTTCCTATGATATGAGAGTCTCTCTCCTTTTCCTCTCCACATCCAGGTGATGTTAGGAGGAGACCCAGAGCAGAGACCAGGAGCAGTGCAGGTCAGAGTGGCCTGCTGTCCCTCAGTCAGTGGAGGAACCATCACAGAGGGTTTCTGCTTCAACGCTGATGGAAACACGGATCACAGGTGGAATCATTTCAAAAACTCCCTTTTTGATTGAGTTACACAGAAATTCTCGAGGATTCTTTGAGCTGAAGCCATAATACACCAAAGGAGGAAATGATTGTCCTACCTGAGACAGAAACGTCAGTTGTTTTGCGGTATGAAAATCCATCAGATTTTCCATTCATATTCCCTTTCACTCTGAAGTGATAGTTTCCAGAATCCGACTCAGTGAGATCATTGATCATGATGCTACAGTTCCTTTGACTCACATCAGGCTCCAACAACGACACTCTTCCTTTAAACCCAGCTTCGGTATCTTTATCGTTGTCAGAGTTAAATACACGTGACTCTTTCTGATCTTTGGTTTTATACCAAACCATATGTCTGGGTGTAAATTGTTCATCGGTTTCGTAAGAACATGGTATCACAACACAGAGTCCAGCCTCTCCTCTTACTTCTTTGATAAGAGTAATGCAGAAGTCGCCCTTCTCACAGGACTTTTCCTCTGAACCGAATGCACCTGTCAGCCAAAGATTACATATCATCTTTCACTGGTTTGTTTATGATGAACTTCAATAAGACAGATATTTAGAATCTCAAAAATATGCAAAGAAGTACATTCTGTGTTATTATTTCATTGTGGATTTCACTTTCCCAGTAAACTAAAATGAAATACAACATATTTTAATTTAATTAAAACTTGATGTTGAAAATTTGAAAGTGGATGTTTTACCTGATAAAAACATGATTGCCCAGGCAAGAAGAAACATGTCGAAATATTAAAATGGTTTCTCCACAGGATACAGTTTACTGCAGCGTCAGAATAAAAGCAAATCCAGCGTTAGGTCTGAATGACTCTTATAAAACTTTGTAGTTTTATAAAGAGTAAGTCTCTCTGAAATAGTTTAAAATATTGTAACATTATTCCCATCAAATTGAATGTTGTTTACCTGCGCTGCCTTGTCCACAGCCTGGCTTCACTGCACTGACCCGTATCTGTTTAAGCTGGGATTTTTTTTACCACCTGTTATTTTAAGTTCTCCAGGAAGTTTGTTGATGCTAAATTGTTGTTCCGGCTTGCTTTCTTCAGAAAAGGGAAGTCAGTGTCGACACTAACGCAACACATCTTATTTACTTTGACTTTAATGGCCTTTTATCAAGTAAAACATGTATTTTCTGTCTATGATAGGGTTGAAAATATCAATCTTCTGTTATTTTAAGTGTTGTAAATGATCTCTTTTGCCACCTGATATTTAAATAAAGGAAGTGTGTTAAACAACAAAGAATTCAAGCCAAACCTTTTTCTCTTCATCAACATATTTCCCCATTTTAACAGCAAATCAGTATCTTGTCAGGAACTTAAGGATATTTGAATTGTATGATAAGGACTGTGTGACTGTTTGTTATAGTTTTACATTTATTCACAAAAGCCATCTTATTAAAAAAACGTTTTGTGTGTTTCTGTGTAAACTTTACATGCATAAGCATTTTTCTGCAGCTATCTCCAACGGTCCAAAACCGTAAAATATGTGATAGGATAACCGACCACTCAAGAGTGATTGTGTAAATCCACAATGTGTGCCCGAAAATTGATTTGGAATTGAAGCAAGCATAAACTGTTCACTGACATCAACTTCTTCTTTTGCTGCTTTCTTTCGCTGAAATGCATGGGTTTTCTCCAGTTCAGAAACTTATCCAACTGTTAGGATATTTTTTGATGTTATCAAAGCTAATAAAACTAAATGTGGGTCAGAATTGAGACACACCAATTTGGCTTTCTCTCACCATGATGGCACACAACTCAAGAGAGCAAAAACTGCAAAGACAGAGACTGAATAATACAATCAAACTTTTATCACACTATAACTAATTATATTTTCTTGATATTGATTAGTAATAATCATAGGCTTTCAGAAATGGTTGCCACAAGAACAACATTTGTATTGAATTAGAATCATTACAGGATTTGAAGCTTCAGTTGTATGTTGCTAGTGATTGGTTTTAATTTCTTCTTGGTTTTAATTTTACTTTCTGAGGTTTGACAGATGAATCATGTTGTTGTCCTTTTGGCCCCTTTATCCACAGGATTGCCACGGTACTGCAGTGGCAAACATTTCACACCGGATGCCCTTCCTGACACACCCGACCCACATCCCAGTCCTCCGATTATCCCTGGTAATGGAAGGATTTGAATCCTGGTCTCTGACCATCCGGCTCTAGGACCCAGGCCACTACTGCCCCCACTGAGAGATGACTCATGTAAAAGCACAGAAAAGGTATTTTCTATGTTTCATTCATCTAAACAAAAAAAAAAACCCTAAAACCAAAAATGACTATAATTTTGTTGTGTTTAAAAACAGCACACCAGACAAGAAATTGTTTTCTAAGAATAATCCACTGTTGTTTTTTTTTTGTATTTTTTTTTTTGTCTTTTATTTGTACTTATTTGGAACAGAAGACAGATGAATTTTGAATTGCTTAAAATAAAACAGAGCAAACCATATAATAATAAAACTGTCATACCTTTGCAATCTCTCTGATAATTTGCAGAGAGTTTGCAGCTACTGATTTGAATTATTGTGTCAGAATATCAGAACTGTAGAAAAAAAAATATGCAATGACAATAATAATAATGACCACAAAGTATTGGACAATTTAACTGTACAACACACCATGACAAAGAATTAGGTGTATTTAATACTTGAGTGAAAAAAAAAATACAAAAATAAGAGGCATTGTAAGACTGCAAGCCAGCATATCTGGAACCCTCCATTAAAATAACAAGAACACTGTCTTAATAAAAGGCAGAGTTAATTAGAATAGGTCAAAGCTGACAATGTTTGCATGCTGTAATAAACACAACTTTAAAAACATGTTCTAATAGTTGTGCCATTCTTACCACGCAGATTCTGCTCTCTCTTGATATCAGACCATGTATTAGCAATTACTTTTTTTGTGTGTGATTATTTCTTTGACAAACATCCAAATAGGTCAGAATATTTCAAACAGGAATCTTGCATAATGATTCTTCACTCTATATTTTTGTGATACTTTGGATAAAACCATAGTACTATTTAATAATTGTCCATCCATTACTTTGAGGTGTTACAGAGAAAGTAAAGAGTCAGCTTCCTTTGGAAATTTACAACTAGTAAGGCTTCATTTGGAATCACGTAGCAGCTGTTAAATGCTGTCTGTACTGCATGAGAGAAAAAAAATCATGCCAAGAGAATCCAAAACATGTGTTGTCTATCAGAACCTATGCAGCATGGCCAGATGTAGGTGTAATTTGGAGGTGTGTCATTTAAGGAGCTCAGAATAAACCAGCTTCTGTGTAGAGTAGGTTATATTCTGGAGTGGTATTTATGGAGAAGGAAAACAGGATTGTTTCCTAAAGGTGGTCGGTGAGATTCTTTTAGTTAAAGCCAGAGCAGTGGGGGAACCTGAAGCAGAAAACTGACATTGCAGAGTATTTCGATGATAGGAATCCTGCCTGCCTGGTGAGTGTGGTTAGGATATAGCCTTGACATGACAAGACAGCTTGAGATAACGAAGCCATGCAGGTACACACCAACCCAGCTGGATGAATGCCACCACATTTCTACGTGATATATTGCTACGGCAAATTTGTGTGCATACAAGAAACTCTCACTGTTCATGCAAGCCCACAGCATTCAATCCTGGCATTTACTCTGGCTGATTTTCAAAGTCACAGTATCCAATGAGAAGAGTGCCTAGCAACTATCGCAACCCTACATTTATTCTACATTAGGGGAGTTTTATAAAACTGAGGTTTTAATAATTTTTTTAAGCTAATTGATTTTAATTTGAAATCAGTGAAATTAAGCAGGCAGTTTTCTTCTGAATTTTCTGATTTGACTAGTTAAGTTCAATATTGCTTAATATTTTGAAGCCTATATTAAGACAGTGTTTATCCAGACTGGCTCTCGAAATGTGTAGCAAGACTGCTTTTAAATGTGTCAAACTGGTGAAACACTAATGCAAAATATGTTGTAAACACACTGCCATCATCTTCTTCATAAATATACATCAATTTTTATTTATTATAAGACATCATTATCAAGTTAGATTATTAGTGTGCTTTAATATCACATCACAGGTTCATCAAATGTATTTGAGCAGCACAACCAGTTGACGAGTTGGCGTTACTTTTTTCATTCATAAGTTTGATGCAATCCTGTGGGAAAGAGGAATCCATTTCTGTGGGAAGTTAACACATACCCCACAGGTCACAGACATCTGATCTTTCGGCACAATTTCAACACACACGCATACAGACACACACATTGTCTAGAGGAGATAACACTTTGGCCCCACACACATTTATATGTTGTGCTTTAGGTTTGTATTTTCTAGAATGTGTGAGAAAAAAAAAATTGGAGAAGAAAATAGACGTTTTGCACTTGCCACAATAAGCGAAAATTGATATAAATTAAGGGAAAATGCTTGAAATGAATTGTGGCAGTTTTTGTAAGTGGGTGGCACGTCACTTAATCTTTGAAATTGCTGTCAAACGTAAGTGACACCTTTCTGTTTTCTGTCTACTGAGTTCCACAACATATCAAATACAGTAATGATGAGGCAAGATGCCAAGGTGTATAACTCTGTTGTGCCTCGATACATTGATGTGCTTAAGATGTAATGAACCAGAACCAGAAAAGAGAGGATTTAATCTCTGTTCAGAAAACTGAAGAAAAACACAGTAACTCCTTGCCCTGATGCTTCGACCGGCAGCAGACGCAGTGACAGTGGTCAGACAGATCAAATAATGAGACAGATGAGACACTGATAACTACAAGAATACAAAAAAAAAAAATGAAATGATGTAGAAACAATGTGCGACAATCGAATCTTGCAATTAAAATAATGTGTGATTTCGTCCTGTGAGTCCGGCTCCATTCTGGAAAACTGGCAGTTTTGAGTGGCGTATAAAAAGGATATTGCATAAAGAAAGGGCCACTGTCAGGGAGTTGTACATTATAAATTATACATCAGGGAAAAAAAATGAAACAGTGAGTCACCATAATCAGGGCGAAATCCAGTGAAGGAGTTAATAAAAGTTTTTGTTGAGGATGTATGTGACTCGTGGCTGCCACTGCGTCTCGCGTAGCCGAGGGATCAGGGAAGGATCGCGATTCATTTGGCTTTGATTTCTGTGTAGTTGCTGCCGTCATCTCCCCTCCCGGATGCCCCCTCCCTGGGCCTGACGCCAATAAACTCCAGAGAAGCGTAATTCAGCTCTTGCCTCTCCAGTCCTGCCACAGAGCCCACAGGTTGGTAATCCCCGTCTTCTCCCTGCAGACAGAATGAGCATTCACCACCACCAACTATCCAAGATCCAAGGCATGAACAGAAATCAGTTAGGAGTTACTGGTTGACATAATGACAATAGGACTGACGATGTTTGGTGTTAAACTTGCGGTTTGAGTTACAAATGAGGAAGCCATGCAGAAGGCATTTTCGGAAACAAATTAAAGTGAACAGAAGAGAGAAGCTGATATGCAAGGGGGATGCATCTGTCTCTATGGCTTGTGTCTTAATAGGGATTCGTTTGGGAACCTTACCGTAGTCTCCTCTAGAATGGAGTTAAACTTTGAGCCCAACAGCTCTGTCTTAAGCTGTGCAAGAGTTAGGGGAGAGAAAAAACAGACAGAAAACGCAGAGAAGCGATGAAAGCAGGAGAAAAACAGTGTTTCGAAAGGTCATTGTTGGAGTTATTAGACTGCTAGTGGGAGAGGTTACTTCATGACCTCTTTTCAGAGCTCAAAATGGGGTCTCAGTACTATTTTCATTACACAAAATGTTAACCCCAAACATTCTGAGAATGGTCGTTCAACCCCTCCGTATTTATAATCTGAATTATTGACATCGTTATGTCTCACCACTTTCTTCCTCAGATTTTGTTTGTCCTTCTTGACTGCGCTGTAGTACAAAGCTGGGTTCTCCAGGACCACGTCCTGCCTAGGGTTGCCATTCTCTCTGGGGGACGGAGTCACATAATCAGACTCGGTCTCAACTGCCAGTAAAGCTGGGCGACACGCCAAGCCTGGGCATCCATTTTAAAACAAGCTGTTTAAGGTTATGCTGGAGGCCGTCTCTGGCTGTGAGTGACGTGGTTATTTGATGGGTTTAGTCGCTGAGATCGCTGTTCTACTGAAGAAAGCCTGCGAATTTGAGGGTCGAATGAGGCTTTGGGACTAAATTAAAGCACCTTGGTTAAGAGGGCTACCTGGGTTGTATTTAGCACAGCAGGTCAAGGATACGGAAGCAATGTCAGAGCAGAGAATCATGCCTGCAAAATATAAGGTTAGTCCAGCTTGCTTACTACCTCCACAAGGCAGCCAATGTGAATTTGCAAAGATTTCATCTCAGTTTTGTTGTAGCAAATGAACTGAAATCGCTTTTAGACAGAAGATTCTCACGTCCACATCGATCCCACATTCACTCAAATACAATCTGCATACGTGTGTTTTAGAATGGATGACTAGGCTCAAGTGTTTCCAAGGATCTCACAAAATTCTTAGTAAGCAAAACAAAAACGTCCGTCTAACATTGTCTTCTCCATTAGTTTGTTGTTTATACTCACTTCTTGTTATTCTGGCCCACATATCTGACTGCTGCAATAATGAAGGCAATGACTGCGACTCCTCCAATGGTGCCAACTATAACTGCCATCATGTACTTTTCTAAAAACACAAAGGTGATGGACTGTAAACTGACAGCAACATTTGCACAAATATTACACAAGTAGTGTTAAGCCCAAAATTATTCATACCCCATGGGCTAATTTGAATACGACAATTTCTTTTGTATTCAGCCAATAAGTTTGTTGAATGCTAAATCTGCGATCGGGTATGAATACATTTTGGCTCGACTGTGGAAAGGGAGTTCAATCAGCAATCATAATCTAGACACGCTACAGTAAATGGACAAATATTGTACAAACTATATTTCTCATAAAAGCTTTTCCTAAGCAAATGTAGCCTGATTAGTCAGTCAAAAGGGTAATTTAATTCTTTGCTTTTCAGTGTGAAAATAGTAATGCAAATATGCTGCAATGATTTGCTCCTACTTCTCTTTTAGACATAGCCTCATTAATAGTTATGGACTTCCTAAACATTGAATCTGGAAATGTCTTTATGTATTTACAATCAACATGTTGAAAACCTTCTCAAAAAGATACTGGTCATTTACGGTCTTTTATTGCTGGAATACTTCTGCAAGTGATGGAAGGCTTGCCTAAATCACTTCTTTATTGAAAGATAAAGAGTTCCAATGTTATCCGAGTTTAAATTAGGTTTAATCCAGTTTTAAACTAAATATAAAGGGCCGACAAGCTCAGCCCTAATAATAATAAAATCTCATATCAGGAACAATGTCTCCAATCTGTTTTCCTCCTGTCTTATTGTAGACCCTTGTGGTCATCACTGTTTCAGCATAGATCCTTCTATTTTCTTCATTTTTGACTCATTCTCATGTAATTTTCATTTTAAAAATGTCCACAGTCTTTGACATTCTTTCTTTTGATTCATTGGTCCAGTCTCGATGTTTTATCGGAGTCGGTGATTGTCATGTTCTACCTTCCTTTAACATACC